GTTAGAAAAAAAAGATATTTAAATAAGCGCTAAGCTGATGAAATGTTAAAATAAAAGAGAATTATAAGATTAAGAAGAGAAAATGGTTAATGTGCAAAAGTTCGATATAATAAAGAAATGGAAGTAACTCTCTAGTCCCAAAAAAAAATGAAAGCTCAAACTGAATTGCGAAAAACAAAGATGAAGAAAAATATCCAGGCTACGTCAATCTGTTAACAAATCAAATTAGTCATCAAAATTCCACTACTAACAATACTAATAATAATAATTATAATAATAATAATAATAATAATAATAATAATAATAATAATAATAATAATAATAATAATAATAATAATAATAATAATAATAATAATAATAATAATAATAATAATGGGGTTTTGACCATAATGGGAGATTAAAACCAAATGATTATAATTTTTGGTGTAATGGTGATTTAGTGATTTAAGTTGGGAGGCTAAAAACACCTAAATTAGGTGCAAAAAATTGAAAATGGTGTAGGGTGGAAGATGCCCTAACCTCTTTGAAATTTTTCGAGCCTGAATTTTTCGAGCCATCAGACATGAGGTTGTAGGAATCACATGGAGAGGTGCGAGTGTGTTCTTTTGACCAATGATGTGTTGACAAGTGTGCGGATGGAGAATGTTTTATTAAAATAGAGATGCCTGGCTGAGGAACTCTAATGTGGATACCTGAAGATCCTGATATTGAAGCATTGCCACATACATATGATTTTGATGGAATTATATTAAGAAGAAAAAATGAGATTGTTTTACTAACTGCAAAGTAGTTGGTTTAATGTTGAATTCGAGATAGTTTTACTTATTTATAACTAGGTCTACTTATGAAAAAGTTCAGACAAGACCGAGAGATGTGTAAAAGATTAACCTTGGAAGTTATCGACCACATATAGCAATAAACCTCACCTTCAAAAGTTGTACAGATAAAGTTGATCCCTTTTAAACATGGTTTATCCTCCTCACTACACGGATTTACGATACACCATCTTTTTTACAAAAAGAGATTTTGCATTTACTACCGTTCGGAATCCTATTCCGTTCAACTCTCCGAGTACATATCTCCCCATTCACTAGGCAAAGACGATTTGAATATCTGAACAAGCATCATTTTTTTCGTCCGGTCCAAATTTTTCCCGTCGCTGTATCCTCTGTATACACCTAGTTTTAGAGCTTGCAGCCCATCTTTAGCTGCTTTCTTCCTCAAAACAGAGAGCAAACCAACCGGCTCATCATTCTTCTTGCCTTGAGTCATCACTTCATCATCCATTGATGACAAATTAGCAGCATGGTCGACTTTGCCCTCGTGCTGCTCTTTTCTTTCGTCAGCGTTTTCATCGACCCTTTGTAGAGTATCAACAACATTTTCACCCCCACTTTTGTTTCCCCACCATCTGTATGAGACACTCGATAAGCCGTCTGAAGGGAATCCGTATTTAAATTCATCAGAGATGGTTGAATTCCCTATTTTCATGATTTGGGAACTCTGAATTTGGTTATCTTTGTTAGGCTGTTGTGGAAGAATTCTTACAGTCGAACTTTCCTGCGGAGAGATAGTATTTGTGCTCTGAGGTTGAGGGCCTCTGCATCACGTAAATAATTAAATAGAAACATTAGACCAATTGACGGAAAGTAGATGATAACAAGAAAAGTAGAGAACAAGGCAGGCAAATTCAATAGCATAAGAAAAAAGGGTAAAAAAAGAAAGTGAATTCTGTCTATCAAAGATGACGTAAAAATATGTAACAGTGAAGCTTTATTTTTTTGGCCAAATTGTTGAGAAACCAGTGGGGTGAATTAAAGCTCTGCTAAATCAGATGCAACTCAATGTAAAAACTCAAGTGGTTTTAAATTTTAATCGGGGCTGCTATCAGTTTACAAACAAAAATAGTGCTCAAATAATTACTTCTAATTAAATTCAAGCTCGGTCAAGAAAAGAACGTAGGCTAGTAAACTTGGTCAAAAGAAAACGATAGCGCAAAATATGAAAAACCTTTTGTTACTAAAATGGAAAGTGAAATTAACTTACGAAGGTGATAATGCAGCTGACCTTGCCAAAGAATTATTCCTCTCTCCATAAACTTTCAGTTCAGCAAGATTCTTTTCTTTCTCTATTGCAGCATCCTTCTTAATTTCTTCAATGCTCTTTCCAGAGAGAATCTAAACGCATCAAACAGATGGGTAGATCAGCAAGTTAGTCCAAATGGTGAGTTAATATTTGAGAAACAAAATAAAAATTTAACAGACCGATTGTATTTCGACCAACAAAAAATAACGTACTAATATGGTCCCAAGTCACACTTAGTGTGACTTGGGACCATATTAGTAGTCGTTCGTAAAGTGGGATAACCAATCCTTCGAAATCATAATAGCAAAGCCATCTTATTGCATGATGCAGTGCAGCACGTTTGCAACTACTTGTTAGAAGCACCAAGTGTTGCACATGGTTTGTATAAATTCAGTCGAATAATTACATTTTTACTTTGAAGTAATTTCAACAAATTGATAAGATAGACTTCCAAATTAGCTGAAAAAGAGAAGAAAAGGATTATGATTCGCACCACAAAAATTATCGTACACTACGTGGCAACATAAATCATAGTCTTCCCAGGCAAAGTAACAAACCAAAAGGAAAAGGAACACATTTGCAATGAACATTTCTTTGATAGGTAAATACAATTTGTTGTATTCACATAAAATGCAAGGACACAACCAAGTCCCCCCTCAATTTATATTTTTTACCTTATATTATACTTATATATCTATTTAGCCCACCGAACTTTTATTAATTAGCACACCCAAAATCCAAATTAATGCAAGAAAATCCCCAATTTTTATTAATTAGCCCACCCAAAATTCAAATTAATACAAAGAAAAGCCTCCAATTTTTTTTACTTTTCCTATTTTCTGATTTTGTCACAAAAAAATCCTAACAAAATTCGGAAACAAATTCCTGGACTCGCCACTGGACACGACCATGTAAAAATGACCTTGTCTCAATCTTACATTAGTCGAGCTCATTTACATGAATATGTAATATGGATCCAAACAGACGAAAGCTAGTTTTACTGCCCTAAAAAAAACAATGATAAAAACCACACAGCGTCAAACATCGGAAGGAAGCACTTACTCTATAGCAATCCAATAAAGTCAACTACGACAAGTTCATGGACAAAGAAAAATCTTTAAAAAAGGGTTAATGCAGAAGCATTTCTTCAATTTATTCTTATAATTTGAAATAATTAGGGCCAATATAAAAATCTGAAAGATCGCGAGACTGGAATTACACGACAAAGTAAAGAATAATCTTTATAAACTAACCTTTCGGTATGGCCACCTGACAAGACCATTGTCATAGCAGAGCTTCTTTAAGACAGTAGGACAGACACCTGTAGAATGAAAATCACAAAATCTGGTTAAGAAAAGGCAACGGTAATCATAGTAACCAGATACATACAGACGTGCACGCAATGTGTTTGTTTAAATGTTTGAGAGAGAGAGAGAGAGTAGTAATTCAATCAAAGACATATACCGAGAGAGTCGGCGGCGTAGGAGAGTGGAAGAGAGAACAAATTGGAGACCTCATCAAAGGAAGGAGACTTGAGTGCGTGAGATGGAGGATTCGGAGTCGGGTTCCGGTTAGGGATAATGGATGCGGGGCTTGAAATTGGTATTGGGCTTTGATTATTTTGTGTTGGATTCTGCGGTGCAGTAGACATTCTCGATGCCGATATGCTACGCTGACTGACTGACGCCCGATAATTTGAGGATTGAGTCGAGGAGGATGACAAATTTAGCCACCGTTTGAATTTTGGGATTTTTTTATTTTTCGACCTTTAAATTTGGGGGAAAAAAATTAGCTATAAACTATGTAATATAATATGTATCAACATCTTTCACTAGCTTTCTCAAAAAAAAAAAACATCTTTCACTAGCCGTAAAAGTGGAAGGGATTAATTATTAAAAAAAAAAAAAAAAAAAATGAAGGGGTTTTTGTGCAGAAGTCTCCAACCAAACATTTTTATTATTATTTTAGGGGTTAACTGCAAAAAATCCCCTAAACTTTGGACGTTTTTGCGCTTTAACCCCTGAACGGAAAAAAGTTGCACGAGCATACCTGAACTCTATTATTTTTAGCACCAATATCCAAAATGTCCATTTTTGGCCAAAATTGACCGGAATCCAAGTCACGTGCCTTACACGTGTATATAACTGGGGTAAATGAGTCATTTCCTTTACACCCATTTTCTTTCTTTACTTTTTAATAAATCTTAAAAAAAAAAAAAAAAAAAAAAAAAGAAAAAGAAAGAAAAATAGCCTCTTCTTCCCGTCACCATCATCCCCAACCAAACTCCTCCCATCAACACCAGGCCCCAACCAAAAGATGCAACAAAACAAACAACTCCTCTCTTCTTTTCTTGATTCCTCATCTCTTTTGCCAATTGTATACAGATAAATCTTTACAGCATTTACAAACAAAAGCCCCTTCATTACTAATTACCCATCTCCCAGTTATAACGTCTAAAGGTCAAACCTTTACACCATTTTCAAGCCAAACAAGACCCACACATCTGCTCCTCAAGCGGCAATCTTCATCACCGCCGCCAACTCATCACCACCGCCAAACTCATCAGAGGCGAACTCGAATCAAAGATTTGGGGGGAGGGAGATGAAATTGGGGTAGTGGAAGGGAAAAAAGATTGAGATTCATTGGAGATTAGGGATTTTTTTTATTGATTTTTTAGTAATTTTATATGATAATTTCAAGTGGTGGTGCGGCGGCGGTGGAGATAGATGGTGGTGCGGCGGCGGTGGAGATAGATGGTGGTGCGGCGGCGGTGGAGATAGATGGTGGTGCGGCGGCAGTGGAGAGAGATGGTGGTGCGGCGGCGGTGGAGAGAGATGGTGGTGCGGCGGCAGTGGAGAGAGATGGCGCGGCGGCCTTGGAAAGATGGTGGTGGCTGTGGTGTGGAAAGATGGTGGTGGCTGTGGTGTGTAAATCTTCCCCTGTTTTGCAGCAACAGGGAGACGAAGATGATGGGGGCTGTGTTCCTTTTTTTTTTTCTTTTTCCTTTTTCTTTTTCTTTTTCCTTTTTCTTTTCTCTTTTTTTATTTATTCTTTTATCAGAAAGTTTTTGTGAATCGACGAAATTGCCCCTTCATTATCACGTGTGAGTTGCACGTGTGCAATTCAGGCCGAAATTTTGCTATAAATGGATTTTTTAATCATCGGTGCAACAATTTAACAAGTTCAGGTATGCTCGTGCAACTTTTTTCCGTTCAGGGGGTAAAGCGCAAAAACGTCCAAAGTTTAGGGGATTTTTTGCAGTTAACTCTTATTTTAGATTTAGGGGTTATATCTCTTTCACCAATAAGCTCATCCCATTAATATTTATTATAAATAAAGGAAACATTCATGTATATCCCTCCAACCAAGCATTTTTATTATTATTTTAGATTTAGGGGCTATATCTCTTTCATCAATAAGCTCATCCCATTAATATTTATTATAAATAAAGGAAACATTCATGTATATCCCAATATTACCCCTAACCCTTTATACTCAATTCTTAATTGTAACCTCGATTTAATCAACTTTGTCCACAAAAATCCAATTTTGACCCCAAAAATTCAATTTTGACTTTTTTTTTTCAAAAACATTTTTTTGTCGCCGGATTCCGGTGTTGACCGGCGGTCAACGCCGGTCTCAAGCGTTGACTTTTTTTGATTTTTTTTTCTTCTTTCGGATTTTTTCGTCGGTTTCCGGCGTTGACTTTTTTTTTGTGTTTTTTATTTTTTTTTTTGTGTTTTTTTTTACATCCGCCGCTATACGTTGACTGTAATTGTGTTGTCACTGACAGTAAATTAACGTAATTATACTGTCAATGACAGTTAATTAACGTAATTGTACTGCCGTTGACAATACATTTATTTAACTGTAATATTATTATTTTTTAATTAACGTAATATTATTATTTTTTAATTTTTGTTATTTTTTTTATTTTGATCGATTTGTTGACAAGTCAAGGTAATTATATTACTGTCGTTGACAGTAAAATAACTGTAAACACAATAATATTACTATCAACAACATCAATATTATTATTTTTTTGTGTTTTTTGTTTTGTTTGAATTATTCACGGAGTAACGTAATAATATTACTGTCTATTATTGTAATATTACTGTAAACACAATAATATTATCGTCGTTGACGGTAATATTAATGTTGTTATAGTAATATTGTTGTCAACCACATCAATATTATTATTTTGTTTGGATGTTTTTGTTTGTTTGAGTTATTCACAGAGTAACGTAATAATATTACTGCCTATTATTGTAATATTAATGTGGCTGACGGTAATATTACTGTTGTTAAAGTAATATTACTGTCACTCACAGTAATATTGATTCTTTTGGCTTTTTATTATGTTTACATTTGTTGAACGGTCAACATAGTAATATTACATCTATTACACAATAATAATAAGTTGTTGTGTTAATATTACTTAATATAGCAATATTAGTGTGTTAAACTGTAGTTTAGTTAATTTTACTGCGTTTAACAGTAATATAGTTAATATTACTGTCAATCACAGCAATATTGCTGTTTATGTTACAAAAAAAAAATGAAAAGTAACGCCGGAATCCGGCGGCAAAAAAAAGGTTTTAGGTCAAAATTGAATAATTTGTGAAATTTGGGGTCAAATTGAGATTAAATTAAGTTAATGATGAAATTGAAGCATATTAAAGTATGAGGGGCTATTTTAGTCTTTTACAAAAATTTGGACCATGTGTGGATTTATTGGTAAAGGAGTTTTTTCTCTGGATCTCTTTATGAATAAGTACCCATTGATGAGTTTATTTGTAATGACCCCAAAGTGGAAAGTCGGATGGATCGGATTGGAATTAGTCTTCTAAAAAAATTCAAAAGTACAAAATCAATCAATTCCAATTCCAAAATTTTTGGAATCTAAAAATTCATGCTGATTCCAAAATGCTCGGAAATTTCCGAATTTCGGAAATCACATAAGTTTTAAAATTTCAAAATTTAGCATAAATTTTCTGAAAATTTCACAATTTTCCACAAAATAAGAACAGGCACGTCGATAAAAGTAAACTAATATCTACTAAATTTCAGTTTAAAAAATAAAAAAACAAACCACGTCATAATATCCAATTAAAACTTTAACAACAATTCAATATGTCAAAATCGTATAACAAAACTTAAATCAAAATACTATTTAAGAAAAAAAAAAAAAAAAAGGTACTAACATAAGTATTATATAATATGTATAATTTATAGGTGTATTTTTTGAATTAATTTCGAAAATTATATCCAATCGGAAATTAAAAATTCCATTTTTTGTTATATAATTCCAATTTCAATCCAAAAAAAATCGAAAAGATTCAGAAACCGAAATTTTGGAAGTCGGAATGATAAAAGTTGTTCCAAAATCGAAAGTTTTTAGATCGGAACCGGCTAAAATTCAAATTGCCTTTCCAACTCCCTATCTTTCAGAGGTGATATATATATTGAAAAATGGGTCGGATCAGACCGGACCTGGTGGGCATGCTCGGATGGTATGGAGGTGAGTTTTGTTGTTCCCGATACATAAAATGGGTAGTGAATTTAGTAAATTGGTTGAACAAATTAATTAGTGAAAATACAAAAAGATTATCTGCAATAAACGTAGATTTGCCGAGGCGAGTTGACTCTGTCCTTAAGACGAAATTTCCCCGCAACGGTGCTAACGGATTAAATGGAAATCGTCTCCCAAGATACAACGGCAAGGCTTGGAATAGGAGCACTCCAAATCCCAAGTACGACGAACTGTACTTTGTGTAGAACTTTTCGAGAGAATCTGTGAAGGGTAGGTTTAATATGCAGTAGGCTTATTTTTGGATTGAAGTGAGGAATTGTGGGAAAGTTAGGGTCTATTTATAAGGTTCGAAAAGTAGTGTCCTTTGGAGCAAAAAGGTACCTTTGTTTGAATGGTTGCACCATTTCAAAGGTACCTTTTGTTTGAATGGTTGCACCATTTCGAGTTGAGCCAATTGGGAGTGGTTGCACCATTTCGAGTTGAGCCGAATGGTTTGCATTGGTTCGGCCGCACCAATTCAGACCAGTCAGACCAATCGAGATGGGCTTCGAGTAATAAGGGCCCAATGGATTAAAAGCCCATGACTTAATGTTTTTGGCCCGTCCCAATATTTTGATATATATACAGCTCAGTACTTCTCTACTTTTCTAATGTGGGATAACTCAAATCCCACTTTCCTTATATTTTGGACTAGTAATTTTTTCATTCACCACAAAATTGGTTCTAATCCAAAATTCATTTATATACTCAATTAGACCGTACAATAACATTGATAAAAAATTGTTCATGACTCAATTTTTAACCAATTTTCCCAACAATCCCCCACATGAATGAAAACGAGGGCGTCGATTCTCTCTAGAGTTCCCACGAATAGTATTGCATCGGGATAGGTAGCATATAGCTTTGAACCTTCCGTAGTGGAGTTACATCGGATTTACTAGGCTCAGTAGTGAACGCGATGTCTTGAACTGTCAGCCGTTCGTGTAAACCAAGACAATGCAACCCACACAATACTATTCTCACATTTCCTTAGTTCTCATGATTGTGTCCGTTTTGGCCATGGACACACATCTTGGATTCATAAGTGTTTGTCAATTCCTTTGAAGCGGCCCTCACTTCATACACTTACATAGGTGATCTCCTATTAAAGGTATCCTGCCAATACCTCACCTTTTATTATAAGGTTTTGGAATCATTAAAAGCGTTTGCTTATCCTTTACCCTTTCTGCAGGTAGCACTATTATCTTACGCGGGAATGAGTTAGGAATGAGTTCCTTAGTGCTCGACTGAACTTTCTTAGCGTAGTTGTCCCTTTTGAACCAGTTCTTGGGATCTCCAGTCAGCATGGTTGGGTTACCACCAAGATTGTCCTTAATTTATGGGTTTTAATCCCATTCCCCTAGATAGGCAATATGTTTGATCTTTTTAGTTGACTTTTAGTCGCGGATCCTGCTATTAACCATTGATTTTCATAATCAATATTATTTCTTTTGAGATCAATTGCCTAATGGTCTTATGTGTACGAGTGTATCGATACTTGCCATTATACATGTCGTTTGTGCCCTTAACGTAACCGATTGGTTATCACAATTTATTCATAATTGTAGACATCGACTAAGTCCAACACGGAACATCCTCCAATAATTTTATGAAATTTATTCAACTTCTTTTCTAACCTTATCTCAAGTTATACATTCAAATTCGTCCATGAATCGAGCTATTCAATTTTGTTTGAGGATTTCCAAGATACATAATCTTAGTGGACTCAAATATCCAATGTACTTTCTTAATACAATAAGATATTTTCTTTAATGTAATCCATTTAAAGGCGATACTTAGATTACCTAAGAACCCTTATAATATTATTGAATGATTATTTATTTTGGAATTACATATTTACTAGTTTGCATTTCATTATGCTGCCAAGCTATCCAAAAATATTTGTAATTGAACCATTGTTCATCATTATTTTTGGCAAGGTAAACACTTGGTTTTTTTTTTTTTTTTTAGACAACTAGATCAATTTTCTAGTAGTGTCTCAACATGAGACTTTCAATAAGACTATCTTTGTTTTAGTGACTTTAATCTATAAGATTACATCGTCTAAACCCTCGTCTTTTGACATCAAACATAATTTTATTTTTATTTTCAATATTTTCTCAACGTTCAAAATAATATCATGATCATTATCTCATGATTATAATGTCGTCTATGGACATACACTTCCATGTGCTTTTAATATAAACACACTAGTCACACTCGTTATTACGAGAACTATTTGATAACACAATTTTATCAAATATTACTTTAGAATCACTTAACGAGTTTCAATATCTTGTTATAAATAATCAAGATTTTCCATAGCTATTTAATTTAGCTTAATTGGACCACCATTTTAATTCTACTTTTGAATAGTCAATCTAAACCTTAATGGTTTACTACTTGAAAGAAGACAAATGTCCATCGTTCATTTTATAACTCATAAGTTAATAAAATCAAATCAAAATCAAACGTATTGATTTTCTTTGCCATCTTGTTGTATCTTGATTGTTCATCACTTTGATGATTTACCACTCACACATATATTAACTTGGTTGTTCATCACTTTGATGATTTACCACTCACACATATGTTAACTTGGTTGTTCATCACTTTGATGATTTACCACTTACACATTTATAAGTTCTTTTATTACGAACTTATTTATTTTCTTATTTTACAAGAAAACACAATATAATCAATTTGCATCAAGAGTGACTATCTTGTGCACAATCATTATTTATCCACTTAATTATACTAGGTCTTACACCCCCACATTTCTAAATATTAATGTGATTACTGGTTAGGGCCTAAAGACCCCCACATTTTTAAATATTAATGTGGTTAGCTCGGAATATCTAATTTTCCCCACAAATTCTAGAGTATGTATTCTAGAATTTATCATTATGATATCCATAATTTTTTCAAGAGTTTTAATTCATTTGTCAAAGTTGCATTTTCCAACTTTCATTCAGATAGCATTTAAATGCTTTGAAATCCTTATTTTTATTTATCAATAAGGATACACAATGTAACAAAATACATTTCTTCTTTAGTTAGAAAAATATATTGGATCACCAATATGATTTAATTACAAAAGAAATTGTATTTCAAGAAATCACAAAAAGAGAAATCTTCTCAAGATACTTAAATCTTGTCAACAAATGAGATAGTAAGATTTCTTCCTTTTCCTCAAAAGAGAAAATTCGTCAAGATACTTAAATCTTGTCAATAAACAAGAGAATATTAATCTCTTCAAATGGTGGTTGATCTCCACTATTCAACATTAAAGTTAGAATATATAAATTCTAATCTTAATCATTCATAATTTAGGATTGCATGTCCTAAACATGCTGTTCAAAATTCAGTCAAATCCAACGATTTAATTCTACAAAACGAGCTCTTAATTAAACTGCTCGAATTTTATTTCAACAAAACATCCATTGTTGTTAACAACTATTTCGGATCTTTGAACAATCAAAATCCGATCTCATCCATTCACATTGTAGATCATTATATTGCAAATGTGATATCAAATCAAATCGAACCCAACGACTCGATCTTCTTTTTATGTTCTTGAGACAAGAACTACTCATGTGCTCTCATGAATTGAGCTTCTCTTTCTTTCTATTTTTATTTCAAATCATGCTTTTAATTAAACCGTAGTATGATTCATATATATAAAACATATGTACATGAATATTATAATAAACATAATATGTGAGCACAACGTTCATACTAGTTGATTATAGAAAGAAACAATAGATCAAGCATACTTTATCAACATATACATAGTATACACATGAATACATAATAACATCAAGTTTATATTCCATGGCATAGATTAATTCATGTCCAACATAATAAACTGATATAAATTCTATCGCACATAATCAATGCATGTCCATGCAATAGCACAATTCTAAGGAATTAGTATGTCTTACACAAATAATAATATGTATAAAAATATTCCTCTTTACTAAGTAACTTATACTTAATATACGAGACAAGTCTAATCGTTCATAGACAATCACAAGATCACGTACTCACAAATTTCATATAACTTTTTCGAAAATTAATCAATTGGACGGTTCCACATCAAATGAAAATTGGGAGAAAGTTAATCCCGTATCAAAACTATATGCAATTTATGAAAATAAATATTGCATTTTCATGAGAAACGTTATGCGGTTTATGATAAACTTATTCAAATAATTAACACATACCATATCACTTTATTGCATTTAGGATAAAAATATTTCTATCATTAATGTAGATACACAATCATAATGAATATTCATTAAGCAAATATATTGTATATAGTTTATTCATTGTATATAGTTTACCATTCTTCCACATATTAAAATTAAACTATCATGCAATAATACACCATTATATCATATAGCATTATCAATTTATTGCACAAATAGATATCTTATAATTAAAAAACGTACCCGATAAATTATATGTTCGTCAATTCAAACTTTGTGGGTAGCACCAAATCGTGTCAATATTATGGCAGTGCTGAATGATTTAATCATATCTCTTCCGTCTGAAGTCCGATTTTGTTGATTCAATATGATCCGAATAGCCAACAAAATTTTCTACAACTTTTATCTTTTACGTTTTCTGAGATTCGGACTGGATCATGATCAAAATAAGCCTCGAAGTCGGAATAGGTGTGCTGTAAATTTGCACCTACAATGGAACCAAAAAAAAATATTAAATAATATTCATGAATCGAAAATAATAGAAAACCTGATCATTATTCTTCGACTCAGTCTTCTTTCAAAAAAGATTCGTGCTTTGGACATTTGTGAGGCATTTAACATGCGACAAGTCGCATTGGTCACGAACGGTTGTATATGAAAAGGTGCATCGGCAGTTCTGCCACCCTTTCGTATTTTCGTCATAACTTCTTCGTACGAGCTCCGATTGTGATGATTTAACATGTTCTGGAAAGCTAACTTGATTATCTACAACTTTTGTGAAATGGTAATTTGCCATATTCGGACTTTAACACCTTCGAAATGGGGCAGGACTGTGGACTTCATGTTCTGTCCGAAAATGAACTTTCTCCAATTGTATTTTGTAACTTCTTGATTTTTGACAGACTATCTTCTTCTCCATCCCGTTTACCAACGTGTGCAGAAAACACAATTTACTAAATCACAAGATTTCGTCTTAAGATTGTTGTTCCCGATACATAAAACGGGTAGTGAATTTAGTAAATTGGTGGAACAAATTAATTAGTGAAAATACAAAAAGATTATCTGCAATAAACGTAGATTTGCCGAGGCGAGTTGACTCTGTCCTTAAGACGAAATTTCCCCGCAACGGTGCTAACGGATTAAATGGAAATCGTCTCCCAAGATACAACGGCAAGGCTTGGAATAGGAGCACTCCAAATCCCAAGTACGACGAACTGTACTTTGTGTAGAACTTTTCGAGAGAATCTGTGAAGGGTAGGTTTAATATGCAGTAGGCTTATTTTTGGATTGAAGTGAGGAATTGTGGGAAAGTTAGGGTCTATTTATAAGGTTCGAAAAGTAGTGTCCTTTGGAGCAAAAAGGTACCTTTGTTTGAATGGTTGCACCATTTCAAAGGTACCTTTTGTTTGAATGGTTGCACCATTTCGAGTTGAGCCAATTGGGAGTGGTTGCACTAGACATGGCCCCGGGTCGGGTCGGGTCCGGTTCCGGGTCGGACCCGCCGGGTCCGGGTCCGAGTTTTGGAGGACCCGAAACCGACCCGCGGGAAGGCGGGTCCGGGTCCGGGCCGGGTCAACTCGGGTCCACCCGGTTCCGGGTCGGTTCCGGGCCGGGTCCGGGTCCGGACCGGATTTTTAAATTTTGTCCAAAATTGTTATAGATGGAATTCGAACCCGGGTCACAAGACACTTGAAAAGAATTCCAAACCACTGAGACAAGATAAATATTTGTGAAATTACTTGCAAGAAATATACATAAACATAAACAAAACAGTATGAAATGATTAAATAATGTTAAATGCATTGTTAATTTTCATATTCATAATTATTAAACCATTTTAATTACATTATTAACAAATATAATATCAAAATTAAAAGGACTTTAGATTAATCCATTTAAATCTTACGATTCAATTCTAATATTTGAATAAAATGTATATGTAAAAAAACGATTAAATCATATGGTCTACAATTTAATTCCTACGATTTTTACAAATTAAATCAATTATTAAAAGAGAAATTACATCATAATATTTTGATTATACTAGTCATATATAATGTTATTTCTAAAGTAAGAATATTAATTGAAATGGGATATAATCTATTTTTGTTAAAATAAACACCATTTATATAAATAATTATCTTATGATAAAATACTCAATAATATTAATAAGTTATTGTCAACAATTGAGGTTAATCGACTTAAATTAATTGAAATGGGTTATAATTTGTTTTTTTAAATAAACATATTATTTTATTTTTCATTCGATTTTTTCACACTATCGATTTTAATAACATAAGTCAATTTTTAATAAGTCAACGCATTTGTTTATATATTGAATTGATTCAATACTTTATATTTTTCAACAGTGGAGCTTATATTGATATGTTAATTAATAATAGATGTTTTGAAGTATTGAATTGTGATTATATATATTTTTCTTATATTGCATTTGTTAATTATTTAATTAAAATTATTTAATAATAATTAATATGAAAATTAATAATTTATTTAACATATTTATCATTTACGCCATAGGTTTATATTATATACATTTGTTGTCTATATATAATCAAACATATTGATTGGCCTGGTGGTTAGTGTTCAGTGAATCACTTGGCTACCCGGGTTCGATCCCCAGTCAGTGCATTTTTTGTGATTATTTCATTAAAAATCCGGGTGGACCCGACGGGTCCTCGGGCCGGGCCCTCGGGTCCGGTTCTTCGGGTCCACCCGCCGGGTAGACCCGGCGGGTCTCGGGTCCAAGAAGTTGGGACCCGAAACCGACCCTTACTTGGCCGGGTCCGGGTCCGGGTCCATGGTCAACGGGCCGGGTCCGGGGCGGGGCGGGGCAGTCAACGGGTCGGGTCCGGGCCGGGTCCGGGTCAGACCCGACCCGTGGCCATGTCTAGGTTGCACCATTTCGAGTTGAGCCGAATGGTTTGCATTGGTTCGGCCGCACCAATTCAGACCAGTCAGACCAATCGAGATGGGCTTCGAGTAATAAGGGCCCAATGGATTAAAAGCCCATGACTTAATGTTTTTGGCCCGTCCCAATATTTTGATATATATACAGCTCAGTACTTCTCTACTTTTCTAATGTGGGATAACTCAAATCCCACTTTCCTTATATTTTGGACTAGTAATTTTTTCATTCACCACAAAATTGGTTCTAATCCAAAATTCATTTATATACTCAATTAGACCGTACAATAACATTGATAAAAAATTGTTCATGACTCAATTTTTAACCAATTTTCCCAACAAGTTTGGCTTACCTCAAATAGATTATGTAGGATTATTTTAAGAATTCATGTTTTTGTGCGTTTATATTTCAAAATGAAAGTAAAAAGGTGAGTTGATTTATAGTAAAACTTCATTTTATGGACCTAGATCAAATTCACTCACCCATATAGTCTGGGAACCTCTTTCCTAAACAAGAGTTTCTGACTGCTAAATGCTGCTATATTACAATAATTGGAGAAGCAGTTAAAATATGAAATGCCTAAACACTTCCACATATAAAAATGATTTTTTTTTTTTTACTACAATACTATATGATGAACTACATAAAAACTTGTGTTTCTCCAAGTGATACGGGCATTACACGTTTTAAAATCTTCAATACACAAACAAACAAAAAAATTATTTGATACAAATTTAGAATGGATAAAGAATTAACATTCATATATCAAAATTTCTCTAATCTAGCACTAATCCGTTGTAGTCTAGTTGGTCAGGATACTCGGCTCTCACCCGAGAGACCCGGGTTCAAGTCCCGGCAACGGAAATTTTAATATTTTGCAGCTTGAAATTAGTGTGTAATAAGAATTTCTAATTGTCACATTTTCTCCTAAAAAAACTATTCATTTTGCCATAACATAAGAAACAAATTTTATTTCTCAATCTTGAATTATTGTTTTCTCACTGGTACAGATCTGAATGAATACCAAGTACCAAATTTTCTTAATGTCTGTGCTATTCATCACATATGACTTGTCTGTCTATTTCTTTTTTGACAAGTACGTATCTAACAACAAGAATTTCGGGCAATGTTATAAGAAGATATCAAAAGTCAAATAAATTCCTTATTGATGAATGCTTGAACCCGAAATGTTCAAACGGTAAACTTCTCGCCATTTAAATGTTTTAGTCGAGAAATGAGTAAAACAATACAAAACATTGTTCCTTGTGTTATGAATTCTTAAGTGTGGATGACCACCATTACTCCCACTACCACCACCATTACTCCCACTACCACCACCATAACTCCCACCATCATCTCCACCATTATTCATCATTAAAAGTGTTGTAACTCTTGACCTTTGAGAGGTCTTTCTTGTACTATATATACAACACAATGTAAATGTATTTTATACAACAAGAAGAAGAAGAGAAATACATATTGCTTTCTCTCTATTTACTCTCTTATGTTCTCTTTGTTATGTTGTCTTCTTCTTCATTTTCTAACACGTTATCAGCACGATTGTTCTATTTCCATTTTCAAGTAAAGATGATCCAAAGAAGATAATTACTTCTCAACCATGGAAGATGAAAAGGGAGTTCATTTCAAATATTTTATTATTTTTAAATTGATTAAATATTAATCATCTTAATTTTGTTGTAGGTGAATTTTCGTGCAATTCACGAGTCTGTACTTCTATGTCTGTTTTGGACCTGATAATGTCCAAATTTCAGAAAATGCAAAATACGAAACTTGTAGCATTTTCTATTGGCTATTCGGAACATTTTGAATCATTAAAATCGGATCTCGATCAAGAGAGATATGCTTAAAATACTCAGACATGCCAGATCTGTCATTTGTGGACATTTTTCAAGACTTTGAGTCCAGTTTCGGACCTGATATTGTCCGAATTTGATAAAATGTAAAACACGAAAGTTGTAGTACTTTCGGTTGGCTGTTCACAGCATCTTGAATCGTTGAGATTCGATCTCGAATGAGAGAGATACAAGCAAATTACTCAGACATGACAGATTTGTCACTTGTGGACATTTTTCAAGTCCACAAAATATTGAAATGAGAAATTTGATAATTGATCATAATCAATTTATGGCTTGAAGCCTAGATCACATTTGAGACTATAAGTCTCAATAGAATATGATAGACTCAAAGTTTATGTGATAATACTCAAACTTAAAGATTTGAGTTGATGTGTATTTCTCATTCATAGTACTATTATTCTATGATTAAGTACTATGATGATCTAAATCATGTATATAGGCATGAGGCCTACATCGAGTACACAAATTCAAGTAATAAACCTCATATATGTACTCGAAAAGATTATTCGTTGGTGATTCAATAATATGAAGAAAAAAAAAATTCACGAGGTTTGAAATTATCTTGAATGTTCAACAACAAAAAAAAACATGAGATATGGATCATTTAAGTTGAAGATCCATTTATGTGTCATGAAAACATAAACTATTTCATGTTGGTGATAATATATGTTTTGAAGTTACAAGCCACATATTTCATACTTAAATGTGGCTACAAGACACAAACAAAGTATTTTGTGCCATGAAAATACATATAAAAATTGGTGGCATGTGTCTTGCACAAACAAGTAAAAGTAACATAAATATAGTTACTTATGGAGATATAAGAGAATATTCTCCAATATATGTGACTTGAAATACTCCATCAAAATCCATGCTTTGGATATATTTTATGCTCATGAAATAGCAACATAAGAACTAAAGTTGCTTTCATTGTAGCGAATCGAGAGAATATGAGGGCATACCGTATTTTAATACGAGTTGTGAGCTAAAATTGAAATATTATAAAGCTCGTTCAAGTTTTGTTATTCCATGAAGTGGATATAACAAATATTCAATATTTGAAGAGATGTCCTTGAGACAAATAGATATTTTGGTGCTTATTATATTACATTTTTTCTCTCATCATTAGAAGTGGAAGAGAGATGAGAAATATGAAAAATATTGGTCATGTATCCATTTTATGATAAAACATTTTGATAAGTTTTATCAAGCACCAATATAAAAAATAACAAAAAATTGTGTCACATTTTGGACATGGCATATCTATCGCATGTTTTATTACATGTAGATTACAATCGATTATTTATGCGATTAAATAATCCCTAATGGGAGATAATTATATGACATACTTTGTCAATTGTGTTTATATGAGACAATTTTCCCGCCGTTAGGGGGAGATTAGAAGCCGATTTATTTACATGGAACGGCGTGAAATTATATAATATAATATGTCTCATCTTGGTTTGTGCATCAAAGAATTAACACACACTACAAAAGAATACATTGCAACAATCTTATAAGTAAAATGCGAGATGCATTGATTGAAAAATATGTTGCAAATGAATACCCTAGAAGGGTGAAAAGAGAATGTCCAAGAAGGACATGTTGTACATTGTGATTGCATCGAGAAGTCCCTTGAAGGGTGAATATGGTACACTAGCTAACCAATTATAATTTATGCATATAAAAGGGGGAGATATTTATGTTGGTTCGAATGATTAGCACCTCAAGAAGTGGGTGAATATCGTTTAACTAAAAGTCTGCTAGCGCTAGTAGCATTGTAATCTCATCCTATTATTTATCCCATTTTATGAAGGGAATCGTCTTACAGACGATGTTGGGGGACGCCTCAACACCAATATCCATTAATGATTTGAAAATATTTGCCAATTTCGGTGGCATAAATCAAATTTATATTTGGATGAGAAATTCATTGATGATTATACGGTTGATACCGAAATCATTTACAATCGAACCGAAGTGCCAATAAAGAGTTTTGGCAAATAAATCATGGTTAGCTTGCTCTCTAAATGAAATAGAGAGACATTTGAGACTAGTAGTTCTCAAGTATTTGTTGTACAAATCTATCATTTTGAAGAATTAAAATATCTTTGAATTGATTTTCATGTACCAAAGTGATTTTGTTAATATTGACTTTGAAAATATAGTGGACCTATAGTCCCTTATTACTCCCTCCATATTGTGAAACTCAAAAACGCGCGTTTAAGTCCTTATCGGACATTTAGTGAAAGAAATAATGAGCTCAAGCACATAAAGTATTATGAAAACTTTATTGGTGCAAGATATAAAATTCTCTACAAGAGAAAAATACATGGTACATGAAAAATATAGATCTCTAGAAGAGATCGTACCCACGAAGGCTACAATCCCCATTTGTATGAATATAATTCTCCGAGGAGAATCCGGTACCGGAAAAGTGAAATAAAAAGCGATGGCTTGATTATCTAGAAAATGGGGAGTACGAAGGATATTATTGATAAATATGTGTGTGCAATTATTTTTAAACAGTGAAGAACTTGTATCTCATAAATGTAAATGCATGTCGACATCCAATTGGCCATATAGTTAGACAATGTATATGGCAATGAATATTTGAAATTAGAAATGAGATAATAAATTGCACATTGACTTGAAGTCAACACATATGAAGTTGTGGAGCCTTTAGTACAAAAGTGGGTAGTATTATCGCGGTACATTTGAATACCTTATTTGAAAATATTTTATTATGAGAACGATGCAATCAATTTTCGGTATTCAAATGACTTGACATACAACATGTGTATACAAATACCGCATATCTATATGGATCATCAAATAATAACAATGAAGTAAATTCTTGAAAATATAATGCTTGTAGCATATAATAAAAGGTCTCATGAGTTAGACCATTGTGATGATCCATACACAAATTAATAATTATGTTGGTATAGTCACTTTAGTGAATACCATATTAGCGAAATGAATAATCAAATGATTCGTTTATCGTATATATGAATGACTTAGTCTTGTGAGGCTCTTGAAGAGCTCACATAGGCATATTTGATGAAAGAGATTGACATCAATTGAATGATAAATTTTATAGATCGAACATCTGTTTTATGGAATTTGTTTCCATCATTTTATGTGATAAGCCTCATTCACTGATTGCCCGATCTTTGAATATATCAAAAGAGGCCGCCGAAATATTGAAG